ATAGACCAATGGAATAGAATTGAGAACCCAGAAATAGAGCCATTGACCTATGGTCAGCTGATCTCTGACAAATGGCCCAAATCCATTAAATGGGGAGGAGAATGTTTGTTTCATCAATGGTGCTGGCAAAACTGGAGATCCACTTGCAGAAAAATGAAACAAAATATGTAACTTACACCATACACAAAAACGAACTCCAGATGGATCAAAGACTTAAATGTGAAACCTAAAACATGAGTTCCTCAAGGAAAAACTAGGGGCAAATTTAGTGGCCCTAATATATGGGCAGGTTGGGCAATCCTACTTCCGTAGTGATACTGCCTCGGAAACCCAAGGAGGGGTCGCTATCAGTCGGGGCCGACTCGACGGCAAACAACAACAATATATGGCAGCTAACCAGAAGGCTGGTGGTTCAAATCCACCAGCCACTCCCCGGTAGGAAGATGGGGCTATCTACTTCCGTAGTAATACTGCCTCAGAAACCCAAGGAGGGGTCACTATGAGTCAGGTCAACTTGACAGTACATAACAACAACAACAATATATGGCATAAATAGACTATTAAGCATAACTCAAAATTCACAAACAGCAGAAGAGGAACCAGATGACTGGGACCTTCTATAAATTAAATTTTTATGTGCTTCCAAAGACTTCTCCAAAATAGTCAAAAGAGAACCCTACAGAGTGGGAAAAAATATTTGGTAATAACGTATCTGACAAGGGACTTATCTCTAGAATTTATAGAGAGCTCCAACACCTCAATAACAAAAAAAAACAAACAATCCAATTAAAAAATGGGCAGAAGATATGATAGACACTTCACTAAGAAGGATATTCAAGTAGCCAACAAACATATAAAGAAATGCTCACTATCATTAGCTACTGTTGTTGTTATTGTTGTTATGTGCCGTCGAGTCGGACCCAACTCATAGCGACCCCTCCTTGGGTTTCCAGGGCAGTATCACTACGGAAGTAGATTACCCCATCTTCCTTCTGAGGAGTGGCTGGTGGGTTTGAACCTCCAGCCTTCTGGTTAGCAGTCAAGTGCCTTAGGAACCACTCTACCAGAGCTCCGCTATTAGAGAGCTGCAAATCAAAATGACAATGAGATACCATCTTGCTCCAGCACTAGTAGCAAAGTCCAACAAGGCACAAAATAACAAATGCTAGCAAGGATATGGAGAAATTGGGACTCTCATACAACTGCTGATGGGACTGTAAAATGGTACAACCATTGTGGAAAGCAGCTGGAACTAGAAATTCCATTTGACCCAGCCATTCCATTACTGGGTTGATATCCTAAAGAAGTGAGAACCACGACAAGAACAGACATATGCACACCCATGTTCATTGCAGCACTATTTACAACAGCCAAAAGACAGAAACAACCTAGGTGTCCATCAACTGAGAATGGATAACCAAACTATGGTACATACACACAATGGAATACTATGCAACCCTAAAGAATAATGTAGAATCTGCAAAACACCGCATAACGTGGATGAACTTGGAGGACATTATGCTGAGTGAAATAAGTCAATCACAAAAGGACAAATATTGTATTAGTCCATTATTGTAAAAGTCAAGGAAAAGTTTATCTATGGAAGGAAATTTTCTTTGTTGGTTACCAGGAGTGGGAGGGGAGGGAAGGAAACACTGTTAGATAGATAGAGGTAAGTATTGATTTGGGTGAAGAGAAGGGCAATGTACCAAATGTGAGTGATCAATATAGTGGCAATGAGGAAGAGAAAGACATAGAGAGGTACGTGGGAGGTACAGACAACAAAGATGAACCCTTTTGCACATACAGTACTGCATTGTCAGTGAAGGTAAACATGGGTATACAGGTGGATAGATGGGTGGACAGGCTGAACTATTAGGAATGTCTATGAAGCAGGGAGTGTACCCAAGACCATGTATAAGGTTGGCAGACAATGGTCCTATAAGTTTATGTGTATCATCTGAATTCTCAGGTGTATAGTAGAGCTGACAAGGGGCAAGGTTGTGGTCACTGCTTGGTCACACCCAGCTACCCAGAGGGGCTGAGTAGTTGAACCTGTGGGCTCGGGACCATAGTCCCAGAGAACATCAAGTTCAATTGGCATAACATACTATACAAAACATTGTTTCACCTCCTACTTTGGCGAGTAGCGACTGGGATCTTTAAAGCTTGCAAGCTGCCATCTAGATGCAACAATGGAACTCTCGCATCCAGAGCAAAGAACAATGAAGAAAACCAAAATTCATGGAAACAATTAATCCTAGCGACTGGTACACCATTCGATTTGCAGCCCATATGACTATGAGACCAGAAGAACTAGATGGTGCCTGGCTACTACTGTCAACCACTTGGAAGGGGATCTATGTAAGAGATCCTGGATAGAGAGGGAGAACAATGTGGAACAAAACTCAAAACCCTTTGTTGTTGTTATGTGCCGTCGAGTCGAACCCGACTCATAGTGACCCCTCCTTGGGTTTTCGAGGCAGTATCGCTACGGAAGTAGATTGCCCAACCTTCCTTCCGAGGAGTTGCTGGTGGGTTTGAACTGCCAGCCTTCTGGTTAGCAGTCAAGTGCCTTAGGCACTATGCTACCAGAGCTCCTAAGGGTGGAGCGAGGTAAGAGAACCAAAACACTCACTGCCATCCACTGATTCTGACTTCTAGCAACCCTTTAGGACAGAGTGTAACTGCCCCCCACAGGGTTTCCAAAGCTGTAAATCTTTATGGAAGCAGATTGCAGTATTTTTCTTCAACAGAGAGCCTTGTAGTCTGAACTAATGACCTTGATTAGCAACTGAAAGCTTAAACCACTGCACCAAGAGAGCTTTTTAAGGGGTAATAGATTGCCCAACTTTCCCTCTGAGGAGTGGCTGGTGGGTTTGAACCACTGGCTTTCTGGTTAATTTTAAGGGGTAGGATAAGAGAATTGATTGAGAAGGGCCTTGTTGAGGAACTAAGCTGAGGAATCTGAAGTTTGATCTCATTGGATAACAGCAACCTAGCAAACATTTTTAAACAGAGAATATGAGATGCCTAGTTTAGAAAAATAACTCTGCTCTTGGGCAATAAAGAATAATAAAGTACAGTTGCATAAATGTAAGTAAAACTGTTGGGAGGCTGCATTAAGAAATAGGACAGTGGGGTGCAAGTAAGAGGACGATTCTGAGCAGTATTTTAGGAGGTAGAACCAAAGCAATGTTAACATCCATGAGAACGTGAGGGGGTTATAGAAAGATTCAACTTGACTAACATTAAGCATAATGAATATTGAGAATGACAATCAGTGACGTCTCCTGGTTTTCTTCCTACCTCTGCCATACACGCTATGCTCCAGGCATACCAAACAATTTGCAATTCCACCAACAAAGCATGCATGCTCACATTCCAGGCCTATGTACATGGTGTTCCATCTACTTGCAGCCTAGTGAGTCTCCTCAACTCATTCTTCTCAAGCAACCCTTTCTCCATCCAGGATGCCTGCCTGTCATGATGACACTTATGCAACCTCCAGGTCCATAAGGTGGTATCTCTGGGCCCACTTACGATAAAAACAGGTTTAGCACTTTAGTCATTGTTTACATGTCTGTCTCTCCCTGGGGACAAAGGGTTCCTTCATATCACCATCTGGCTTCCCCTTCACTACCGTCTCCCCAGCTCCTGGAACCCAGAAGATGTCCCGTAAATATTTCTGTGTCCGTGGACCAATGGGCTCCAAGTGCGGGATCTCTAAGGTCCGCTACAGCTTTGACAGTTTTCGGGCATCTTGGTCACCGTCATTGCTAAAATGTTCTCTAACAGGGAAAACTAATATTTCAGAGTCCAAGAAGGTTGCAGACGCCACTTACACGACACTCGTGTACTATCTTTGGGAATTCACATCGGAGTCTCCTGAGCGCGGCCCTTCCCGCCAAGCCCCCAGAACGACCATAATCGCAGGGACGACAGGCTCCAGGGTCAGTCAGGGAGCCCGTGTTAGGCCCTCAGCCCGGAGGAATTACCTTGACAAAACCTCCAGATCTTCAAGCGCAGACAGCAGCCGCTCTCGTGTGCTGTTACCAACTACTGCTCCTAAGTTGCCACACGGCCGGTCCTTCTCCTTCTCGGTACCTGAAGACGCAGCCATGCTATCAACGAACCAGCAGCCGGTGGGTGCACAGCTGCGCGTCGGCACAGGAAGAGCCGGGGCCCGTAGACGGAAGGAAGGGTCGTCAAGGAGAGGGAAGAGGTGGGCTAGAGCGACCCATGCGCGCCTGGAGTAGCACTGCGGGCGCCACCGCCATCTGCTGGATTATCCAGGTATTCTCTGGTGGAGAGCCTGTGAATGAGGCCAGGCCAACCGAGGAACTGGGAGGGAGACGCCACGTGGTTGCGGTTCGCCTGTGCCTTGTTTTCTCTCACTCTATCCAGAACTTTCTAATGTGATCCCTTTAAAGTAAGGTGATAATGGTGGCCTGGCACCATGTAATTCTAATTCATTAATCTTTTGGACTAAATGTTTCATTACGCCTTTCATTTTCTTTACTCTTCCTTGCTCCAGATGAACAGAGACCAATAGTTGCACCTTAGATGGCTACTCATAAGCTCTTAAGACCCCAGACGCTACTCACCAAAATAGGATGTAGAACATCCTCTTTGTGGACTATGTTATGCCAATTGACCTTGATGTCCCCCAAGACTGTGGTCCTGAGCGCCCAGGCCCAATGTCTCATTCCCTCAAGGTGTTTGGTTTTGGCTAAGAAGTTTTCGTAACTTTGCCCCCATAACCTTGCTGTATTATATGCATGGATATATTTGCACCACATAAAAATACTTATGTCAACCCTGTATATATTGGTGGGTGAAGTCCCATTCACCTTCCCACTCCTGTTCAGCTTGCGTGTCTCTCTGTGTATCTGCTCTCAGATTATTATTGTTATTACTGTTATTGCGGGAGCTCTGGTAGCATAGTGCCTAAGGCACTTGACTGCTAACTAGAAGGCTGGCGGTTGAAACCCACCAGCCACTCCTCAGAAGGAAGATGGGGCAATCTACTTCCGTAGTGATACTGACTCAGAAACCCAAGGAGGGGTCACTATGAGTTGGGTCTGACTTGATGGCACATAACAAACAACACTGTTATTGCAGGATTGTGTATGTAATAGTATTTACTTCTGTTGCCTTTAACTCTTGTGCTCCTCCAAGTGTCTTGGTTTGCCTTGTTGTTGTTGTGTCTGTCCTCTAGTTAATGATTTACCCTCTCTTTCCTTTCCACCACTGGTAACCTTCAAAGAATGTTTCTTCCTAGCAGTGGTTTCATATGTTATTTGTCATCTTCTGTTTTTCAAAGCAGAACTCAGAAACTTCTGCTACATAGTTTCTAAGCATTTGCAGGAATTACATAATGGCCTCTTGAGTCAGTGTCTTCATGAAGTCTTCAGAGAAATCAGACCTCAGTCCTTTGGTCTGTATTCTCATAATGCTATTCTAACCCCCCTGTTCCATCTTTCATGGATGCTGTATGAAACTCCTTTTTGAGCTATACATCTCCAGATGTTCTGCTTAATGCTCAAAATGGTTGTTGAGCTGAGTGAATCAATGAAAGTGGTAGTTAGTGAAAATAAATAAAGGATTGAGGTAGTGCTCTTCTAAATCAGAACAAGATATCCAAACCAAAAATGTACCTTTGCCCATCTGCTTAAGTTTCAAGCAGCCTATCTCTTCTGGGGGAGAACAATGTACAAGAGGACTTTCCCTACCAGGAAAACTCAAAGTTACAACAGTTTGGGAGTGTGGGTTTTGTACTAAGCCATGTTGTGGTTATCAAAAGATGAGATGGAGATGTCACCTATAGAGACCAGCTTGCAAAATTGATGATTCCCTAAGGGACTCGTTGTAAATAAACTCACTCACTAGCAAGAGCTAGGTAATCCAGAATGCTGATGTATTTACTCGTGATGAAAAAATAATAGTGCAATTTACATTTTCTCCCACGGACAAATATACATAAGAAGAAAAATTATTATCAGAATGTTTCTAGCTGAACTTGGATAAGAGCAAATGAAGATACTGTTGTTGCTAGCTGCTGGGTGTCAGTCCTGCACTCATGGTGACCCTATGCATAAGGAAATGAAATGTTGCCTGACTGCATCATCTCCATAATCCATTGCAGACTGGACCATTGTGATCCACAGGGTTTTCACTAGTTGATTTTTGGAATTTTTTGAAATTTTTTGCAGTCTACTGTGCCAGGCCTTTCTTCCTAGTTGTCATAGTCTGGAAGCCCTGCTGACACCTGTTCAGCATCACAGCAACATGCAAGCCTCCACTGACAGATAGTGGTAGCTGGGTGGGAGGAGTGACGACTGGGAATGGAACCGGGGTCTTCTGTGTGGAAGACAAGAAGTCAACCACTGAGCCAGCTGCATCTTAATGACTACAATCAGCAGGTCTTGTATCTTCACATTCTGGGGACATTTGTGTTTTTTGGGTTAAAGAGATGGAAATATTTGTGTTCATAGGACAGGGCACCTCCTCTCCTAGACAATGAAGGATACCCACTGACACCTTTTGTTTTCTGACCCCCCACTTCTGCTTTTGGCTAACCTCTAATGTTAATGCAATAAATTCTAAGGCAATAGAAGAAATTAGATTTATGCTTTCTTGATTACAGCTGCATTCTAAGGTTGCTTCCCAGAAGCTCTAGTCAATCATTTCTTGGATTAAGTCGCTAGGGTGCCAAACTCCTGTATTGTGGGTGTTGTTTACTTAACTCTCACAGGCTAGTCTTGCTCCATGATTCCAGTAGTAGGAAAGGGGAGATCATATTAGTTAATTCCCACATAAAAATTCTGGGAAAATTGCAATCAGTTAAAAATGGTCAATTGTAAGTCCTACTCTGCAGACAGTTAGGGTCAGTGTCCGAGAGTATGTCTCTTGTGAACTCCAGAGCTCCTCACATTGCAAATTCATATGCACATTGTTATGGATTGAATTGTGTTTGTGCCTCCCCCCCTGTGTGTTTTAAATCCTACCCCTTACACCTGTGGTTAGGAGCTCTGGTAGCGTAGTGCCTAAGGGATGTGACTGCTAACAAGAGGGCTGGCGGTTCAGACCCACCAGCCACTCCTCAGAAGGAAGGTTGGGCAACTTCCCTAGTGATACTGCCTCGGAAATCCAAGGAGGGGTCGCTATGAGTTGGTCCGACTGGACAGCACATAACAACAACAACAACAACATACCTGTGGTTATAATGCCATTCAGGAATGGGTTTTCTTTGTTATGTTAATGAGACAGAATCAGCTTAAGGTGTGTCTTGAGTCTGAAACCTGTGAGAGCTGGAACTTGACAGGACTGCCTTGTTTTTCCAGGTCTTGCAAGTTTTCTGTCTTTGACACTTTTCTATTGCTTTTAGTGGAAAACACTTGAATTTTCCTTCTCTGAGAGGTTTCTGCCTTACACAGGTTCTGGCTTTTTCAGGTTTTACTGTAAAAGGAGCACATTAAGAAGCAGAGCTGGGGGAAGATAGATGCCACACTGCATGAAAATCACAAGGAACCAAGGAACAAGGGCCTTTCCCTAGAGCCAACAGAGCCTTCCCCATTGCCCTAAATTTAGACTTCTAGCCTCCTAAACTGTGAGAAAATAAATTTCTGCTTGTTAACCCCCTTGTGGTATTGCTGTTGTAGTAACACTCCAAACAAATAAACAAACAAACTTACTGCCATCAAGTTGATTCTGACTCACAGTGACCCGCATTGGGTTTCCAAGGCTGGTGATCTTTATACAAACAGACTGCCTCATCTTCCTTTCATGGAGTGGCTGGTGGGTTTGAACTACTGACCTCCTGGTTCATAGGCAAATACCTTATCTACTATGCCACCAGAGCTAAAACTTACATTAAGTATTATTTATACGCTAATAATGAGCTGTGGGGGAGCTCTGGTAGCATAGTGGCTAAGGCACTTGACTGCTAACCAGA